GAGGCGCACCCTGTAACCCCAGCGCCGGGGAGGCTGAGACAGGAGGATCCTTGTGGCTTGCTGATCAGCCAGCCTAGCCAAACCTACTATTCAGGTACTACCCAGGTTCAGTGAGAGACGCTGGCTCAAAAATAAAGATCACCTGAGAAAGACACTCAGCGTCAACCTCTGAGCTACACACACACACACACACACACACACACACACACACACCAGAAGAATCATCAGACACTGCACCATACTCCAGGGTCTACTTCTACCATAAAGTATCCAGATCCTGAACATGCAAACTTCTCCAAGTTCTCATTATAAACAACGTTACCAGGGTTTCCATCCTACCCCAGGGCAGATGTTGCAACCCCCAATCCCCTCAAAAGGGTTCCCGGTGATATACTTGCTGACGACAAAGTTTGCAGGACACGAAGGCCTTTGATCCGTGACTCCCAGTTTGTGAACTATTTATCTAGGAGCAGGGAGCTGAAGAAGAATCAAAACACGAAAAGCCAGCAGCCTGAGGAGAACTAGACCCCCAAGCCACCAGAGAGGTACCTGAAGCTCATTCGCTGATGGAGACCTCCGATGCCAGAACTGGATGGCACAGTGCAGAACGTGGTCCAGTTCCCGTGTGTGGGGTGTGTACGGATGCTCTGGGAGAAGCCGTGAGGAAGGGGGTGAGATCATAAGAGGATCTTCCCAGCAAAGCCCTGTGTTTTGTTTACGGTGAGCCCTGCTCAGGGCCCCCACGAATGGAGCTGCATGCTATCCTCCCCCAATCCCAAGCCGAGTAGGAGTGGGAGGAGGCTGGGGCAAGCTGGGCAGTCCATGGTGGCCAAACACAGGGACTGGAGCAGCCGTTACCTGTAGGAACTCCTGTGGCGTGCATCACTTATCGCTTGATGCATGTCATAAAATGAACATGGAGGAGCTCAGTGGCTCTGCAAGGGCTGCCTGCTCCCCCCCCACACACACACAGAAAGCAGTGCCTCAGCATCTCTTCCACATCTAAACTTTAGGTTTCCTGGGAGATCAAAAGTGTTCTCCATCCTAGCACGGGACCTCCACGCCTGCCTTCTCAGGGACAGGACACACGGTGGCCCGCAGACTACTCTAGACGCCGATGAAGTAAACAGTGGGGACATTAGTGCAACTTGTGGCTTCAGGCTGAAGTCGAGGCGTGCACACCAATGCAGGGGGTGTGACATCTGAACCTGCTCGTTTCCATCCTTCTTCATATAAAATAAGATTCATTCTTCAGACCTGGGCTGGGACTCCCCAACCTGTCTTCCTGTGTTCTCCCAGTAGATGGCGCTAACTCATTTCAAATGCAGCTTTAGAGGCGCCAGAAAACTCAAGCTGGAGTCAGAACTAGGGCAGAGCCAATTAGGAAAGAGGACCGTGGCAGCAGAAATGGCCAGAACCACCATCTGTCTTTAAGTCACACGGGGGAAGCTTAAGATCTCTTGCGTGTCGTTTAGGATGTGTCACGTAGCCCCCAAGGCCAGGTTTGCTTCCAACATCACCCGCGCCCTCCACACTTACAGTCTGACGGGGGCTGACTACTTGGGAGCGATCGTGTATTTTGTCATAACCTAATGTAACCACAAGATGGCGCTGCTGCACGCAGGACAAGATGCTTAGGGAATCCGAATTTTACCAAGCAGCATGAAGACTTGCTGAGGCAGAGTGGAGGCTGAAGGGGGGGGGGGGGTGTTAAATAGTCTTGCAAGGCTAAGTTCGTGACTGTATTTCCACTATGTTGCCGCTTCGGCTGCTACTAGTGAGGAGTTTCTAAGCACCAGGCATCGCGATCAAGCACTTTATAAACATGGCTTCATTCAACGTCTGCGGAAAGTCTTCTGGGGAAGCTCTGCGATGTCTCCAAGAACATGTGTCATGGGGCAGCTGGCGATGGGAGCCTCATGTACTTTCTCAAAAGGACTGAAAGTGATCCGGTTCTGACTGTGTCCACAATAGTGAATAGAACGGCTTATCCGGATAGGGTGCTAACAGCTCCGTGCCCCCAGTCAAGCGTCTGAGCGCCTGCTTTGTGTCAGGCTCGCAGGACAGGGAGCACAGAACCAGAGAAGGCCCTGCTGTCAGTTCTGAGACCGCAGCAAACAGCAGGTCAGAGCAAATGTTCTAGGAGGGTGAAGAGGGCAGGGAGAACAGTCCGTGCAGGGCATTGGAGGAGTCCGTGGTAAACAAGAATGCATGCAAGGGGCCCCTGAGAAGCAAGAGTTAAATCTCCAGGGATGGACAGCAGTGAGCTATGTCTTAAACACATCCATTATGGAAGTTAAACCGAGGCAGGAGAGTTGATTCACACCTGTAATCCCAGTACTCAGAAAACCGAGGCAAGAGGATTATGGCAAATTCAAGTCCACCCTAGGCTATTGAATGAGACCTTGTGGGGGGGGGGAAGAGAGGTAGGAGGAAGAACAGAGGAGAGAGATACATAATTAATTACATGTACAAGAAGACCAACCTTTAGAGACTCAACCCTTCCTTTACGTATCTGTCTTACCACAGCTGTAACAGCAGCGGGTAGACTTTTCTGGAACTAGCCAGAGAGCAAATACTTTAGGCTGTGCCGGCCTCATGTTTTCCGTCACAGCTCCACAATTCGGCTGTTGACAGACCCACGCAGAATAGGTGAGTGGGTATGATTGTGTCCCATCACACTGACACTTGGGAAAACGGTATTGGGCTAGGCTCGGTTCCCAGGCAGTGTGCAGAGCCCTGGTCCGGACTCTAGCATTTGGAGTGGACATGCTCTGCACTTTTCTGAAGAACCCTTCTGTCCCCTTTCCAGTTCCCGCTGCTGAGCTCTGCTAGCTTGCAGTGGCCATGGTATGGAGTCTGCCACAAAACAAGCAGAGGAAACCATCAGGGTTGCTCCCATGTCCCCCACAGTCTGCGCTCAGCTTCCCATCCTCCCGCCCCCCAGTCGCTGTCTTCAAGACCTGCCCTAATGCTTCTCTGGGGGAACCTCTGACTTAGCAGGTCTGCCTGCTGTGTTACACCTCATGACAACCCCTAGCAGCCTTGGTCCTCTGTGGCTAGTGGAGCACAGAGCTGGGAAGCATTTATTCCACAGGCTGGTGAGACCAATCGGCCACCAAGCAGAGCCCACCACAGTGACATACAGTCTTGAGAAGCGGTAGCGTCGACCGATAAAATCCTTGCAGATTTTAGTCGCTCTTTGTAACAAGAGCTCCTTGCTAAGAGAAATCGCCCAGTTCCCATAATTTGCAGGTCAGTCTTCAATCACCTCCCGACTGTAATCAGATCCCAGAAACAACCCCTTCCATCAAAACTGAGCACTGTAAAGCTGTCCCCCACCGTGGCTGGCAGGCCGCCGGGACCTGCTGTTCACCAACAGGTGAAGACAGGCATGAACCTGTCCCAAACTGTTGTTCCCCATAACTGATGGGTTGTTCTTTTGAATGACATCAGAAACAACACCTGGAATTCACACACACTTTGGAATGTTTCCCAAACAAAACACATAGTATGCTCACAGTGCCTATATTAGTATTTTTTCTGATTTTTTAAACTTTGCTTTTATATGCATAGGTGTTTGCCTGCATGTATTTCTGTGTACTGATGTTGCCTTCAGAGTTCAGAAAATTCCTCTGGGACTGGAACTTCCAATGGCTGTGAGCCACCATGTGGGTGTAGGGGGTTTGAACTCAGGTCCTGGGGAAGAGCAACCAGTGGACAGGCTCCAAAGCTACAGAGAAAACCTGTCTCGAAAAACCAAAAAAAAAAAAAAAAAAAAAAAAAAAAAAAAAAAAAAAAAAAAAAAAAAAAANAAAAAAAAAAAAAAAAAAAAAAAAAAAAAAAAAAAAAAAAAAAAAAAAAAAAAAAAAAAAAAAAAAAAAAACAAACCCTCCCACCTTGCTTCTAAACTCTTTCTCCTAAATTCAACACACACCTCCCCTGCCTTTCTTCAAAGGCTGAGTCAGCAGCTTTCCCATACTTTTCTACTTCCCCTCTGGAACTTGCATCCACAGCCTATCTTCCACTGGAGCAGAAGGTTCCCAGTAGGGATGATGTGAGGATTGCTTCCCTTGAAAAACTCTGTCCGTAAATGGTTCCTACTTGGCTGTACACTGGACAAGTACCTCTGAGTTACCTTCAGATAGTCCCATGGGCCTACGTCCAGCCGTGAGCACCATGGAAAAACATCCTTGTGCAGACCCGACCTCTAGCCAGGATGGAAACCCCTTATTGATGGTGCGTCCCATCCTTCTGACTGTGTCAGGGAGCCTGGCCAGGGGTCAAGGGTAGGATCGGTGTTCCTCTGGCTAGGTCAGCTTTCTTCAGCAAAGACTGGATCTTCACTTGACTGTTCATATACACAGATGGGCAGTGCAATGCCTGTCACATCAGTATGCCCAAACACTCTGAAAGTGTTTGCCAACCTCTGAATTCAGCAGGAAAAAGTAGAGCTGCGGCATGCTGTTACCAGCACGGTCATGTTGTAAGCTGTGGGTTTTCTAAACAGAAACCTTGACATACTACAGCAGCAATAAAACTCAGATCAGTCTAGTGTCCCTTCCTGTACGCAGTGAGGGGCTTAGCCTCCAAGGAAGGAGGACTTCTCATGCATTTTATTATCTAAAAGAAGCCTGGAGTAAAATTCAGTTCCTAAAATGTCATGGGATCATTCCCTGGGCATTACAGAGAAGCAGCCACGTCCCTGGCAGTTCTTAGGCCCAGCACGTACCCTGTGAAATGCACAGCTCTGGCCACATACCTGCAGCTGAAATGGCATCTTGGGAGGAGTAAGCTGTCTCTGGAGGCTTAGAGATGGTGGTGATGAGCCATAGCCAGCACATATCCAGAGTGGGTAGAGGCCATGCTATGGCCCAGAGGCAAATGGCGACATCCTAAAACATGCCCTAGACACAATGTGTGCCTGGAAGCTTGATGAAGAACCAACTTCTATGTTCCCCCAACCCAAAACCCTTCCCCTAAAGAAATCAAAGAGAAAGAACCATAAAAACTGCGTTTTAATGATACAGAAATAGTACATGGTACATTTCTTTCCACAGCAGCACTTCAATCGTCTCTAACAAAATTAAGGCTACATTGGAGCCTTCTGACAGAAAGGGACTGTTTTATACAATGTTATTCATGTTTTCATAAACAAAAGAATATTCTTCAGGCAAAAAATTTTTAACAAGATACCAGTAAAGGAAATGGAATACAAAATGTGTTCCTTTGGGTCAGCCTGATAATAGCCACACCACCCCTAGGGAGTATCAGGGAAGTTTTTTAATGAATACTTTGAGTATGAGGGCGACTCTTCAGAGTTAACATCCCACAATACAAGGCTATTTCATAATATAAAACCAAAGACAGCTGCGTCTCCCACATAATCCCTTTAGAATGAATAACTAGTGAACATCAACAGTATTTAAAAACAAAAGAGAACTGTGCAGAGGCCTACGGTGCCTGGAAGGACAATCCCTACATCAACAGCCCTTCTCCCTCAAATCCCTTAGGAAGAAAATGAGAACCAAAATCTGATGACAGTAAACTGTCAGCACTGCCAGGAGAGTGGCCAGGACCCTGCGGTCCTCTTGAGGATAAAGTAATGCCATTTAAGGCCACCCACCAGCAAGGGTTTATCCCCAATATTCCCACTGTTCACTACTCCTGGCCATCTCTGCTGCTCAGCTTGTCACCACATCTGGGCCCAAGAGAAACCCTTTAGGATCTAGAATAATACAAAGCATAGACCCTCAACAACTCCAGCCAGTCCCCCACCCGAGATAACTGACAACAGCTCACACAGGAGCCTAATTCCTTGCCAGGAAGTCACACTTTGACATCTTGACAAGAGGGCCAAGGCCCAAAGCCACAGAAGTTTGCCTCCACAAGTCCTGCCCTCTGCTGTGACGGGCCACTGCCTCCTCTGGCCCCTCTCTGCTCACCAGTTTCCACCATTACATCTTCTCCGCCTAGCCCAGCTGCATCTGGGAACTAAACAACCATCTCCCTGATGAAGCACTGGGAGTGGTGCCGGGATCACCAAGCCCAAAGAGGGCAGTCTTGTTTTTAAACAGAGGTCTCATGACCTATCTACTCTGAGAAGGATATCCTACTTCTGACAAAAAGACCTGTCATCTGGTAGTGTGGTGGTACAGGAAAAATCTTCTCAGAAGTTAAATGTTTAAATTATTAAGTAGTAGAGAGAAATCAATTCAGTGATTTATTTTTCCCCTTCAACATGAGACTTTTGTCTATTTCTTTGGCTCCCAGAGCCTCTATTTCTATAGAAATAGGGTGGAAGGAAATATCCAAGTAAGTACCATCAAATACCCTCTAAGATTTATGCACATTCCAAAGACTGCTAATTCCTCTAGGAATAGAGCGCTGAGGTACACATACCAAATGTACTTAATATATAAGTTCATATATAAACAAAGATAAACACAGAGTCAATATCCACTTATTCACACTTAAATAGAATGACTGCTACAGACAATAGCATTGTTTGATCCCATATTAACACAAAGAGAAGTTGTCTTTGAAGCCTTCAAACCTAATAGATCTCTTCAGGAAAATATTAGTAATATCTCTAAGCCAACTTTATTTTCTCTGTACTGTGATCTGTATAAGAATACATTATGTATGACCACTCCAGTCACATAAGTAAGTCACCGTGCCTTGCTCCATAAATACTTAAGAGCTCCTATAGGAAACCTGCCTGGTGACAGTTATCACTGAGAGGTTCCAATTGCTCTCTACCCTAATCCTCCAAGTTGACACCAAAAATGGACATTTTACAACAAAGTTACTCATTTGTCTCAAAACCAGAACAAATAGAAAATAACACCATGAAAGGAATATCAGCATGTTCTGACCACTGCTGCAGGAACACAGAAACTCGGCAAAATACAGACATGCAGGAAATCAGCACTATATAGGAAAAATTAACAAACTCAGCACACCTTCAAGAACTGGAATAAAGGCAGACTCAATAAAACCATATTATTTCTTCCTCAAGGCAATCAAAAAAGAAAAATGATTTAATATCCTTGGTCCATAAGAAGAAATATTTACTTACATCCTCAATGGACTAAAAGATGTTAGACGTCACAATTAAAATTGTATCTTTCCAAAAATATTATCAATGCAATAAACTCAATAAACTTAAAGAAAACAAAACTTAACTTCATTTAAACTAAACTTCATTTAAACTTTTAAAAAACCAACAAAACATACTTCCTAGAGTGCAAAATGCTTATTAAATACTTCAAGAACACAAAAGTAATTTGTTTAAAAACACAGGAATCCTTTGCTGAGGGGCCATCAACACAAAAGACACCCATTGCCGGCAATGGGTGCCAGCTGGAAGAAACATGGTGTTAAGCTTTGTGCTTGGCCTCTGTCCCTTTCAGATGACATGTTATTTGTACAAGCTCATGGTTGGACTCTGGTACATGCACATGTACGCATCACAAAGAAGTCTGCGTGCACAGCCTTGAATCCTTCTGGAATCCAAGGAGTGCAGCTCCTCCAGAGACATCTTCAAGTACTCTCCCACTTCAGGGCAGGGTGTCACTTGTGGAATGTTGAAGCCATTCTGACCCCCTAGGGAGAGAGAGAGAGAGCTCTCATTAGGGCAGCAAACTTCTAAGTCCTCTTGGCAGCCTGTCCCACCAGAACAATTTTACTATCCTAGAATTTAGTGAAGACTGACTCCCAGAATCAAAATCAAAACAAAACAAACAAACAAAAAAATTTGTTTGATTTTCAGTTTCTAGAATTACAGTCTCCTTTTATTGGCTTCTGAGAGGGTTCAGCAGAGAAAAGTGGAAAAAAAAAAACAAACCCTGGTAAAAGGACACGCACTTAGGAAAAGCTGCTACTCTAGGCCCCCCAGACTTCTCTGTCCCTCCCAGACACTAGCAGCCTGACTCTTTTCCACAAGAAGCCAATTGTGAGCGCTACTGTTTCCCCATGTTTTAAGAACATACTTGCATACCTCTAGCACGGCTGATTTAGATACTAATCATCAGAACGCGCATGCACTCTGATGATCAGATTTGCTCTCCCAGGTGCGTTCCCAAAAGTCATGCTGCTAATGCTAACTGAGTGACATGCACACAGGGGTGGGCTGTGCCCCCAGGTATCAGAGCTACACAGAAATGAAGAACTGTTGCTCTACAGCTTGGGCCTCTGGTCAAGAAGCCGTCACTCGGTGCCTCTGGTTATTACAGTGTCACACCTGAAGACCTGGGGAACTAGGGCTTGGAAGAAGAGCTGTAGAGTAAATGGGGTATGTACAGGTACTGTGACAAGTACCTTACTACCAAGACCCCTGTCACTCAAGTGTGTACTAAGTAATGACTAAGCTTCCTAAAAACATCTCAATGAGTAAAGGTTTCTTCCTGAAATAAAATGCATGAGATCAGGAAGACTGAGTTAAATACAAACCATGCAACCTTCACCACTTTTAACGTTAGTTTAGACAATAGAAAAACAGGCATGATTTCCATGACCAAAGTATTCCCACAGAGTTTGGCATTTATGTCCTCAATAAATGGCTACTCTACTGTATATAAAAATGCAATGAAGAAGATGGTAAAATCAGCTATAAATAAATTTTAGGATTTTTTTTTCTTTTGAGGTGGGGCAAATTGAAACAGGTTCTCACTATGCAATACAAACTGACCTCTGATTCACAATCCTCTACTTCCCAAGTCTGGGATTATGGCTAGGATTCTTTAACAAATCCACGTAAGGACCAAGATGGCACAACATTATTGCTCCTTAGTTTGAGGAGCAGAATTAGTAATACCCTCTGAAGATTAAAGTCCGTCACACTGTGGTATCCTTTCAAGAATCTGCTCACAAAATACCAAAAACACATGCTCTCACTAGGAAGCATCTCACTCCAAAAGACAAGTTTTAAATACCATCTCGATCAGCCATGCTGTCAAAGAAGAGCCAGGCTGAATCATCCTTCCCATACTTCACAAAAGCAACGTAGTGGCTCGTTTCTATGCAGAGGACAGCAAACAACTCCATCTTCTGGCAGGGGATGCAGCCGTGTCTCCAGTCCCAGTCAGGCAAGTCTTTGGGAAGTGATACTGGATGATATGTATGATTCATCCTCTTGGGATGGAGGTGAACCTAAAATGGACCATGAAGAAAATACCACAAATGAGCTAAATGCCATGTTTCAAGGGCAGACTCTAATCACTTTCATTGACCACCACAGCCAAGTTCTACACACACACACACACACACACACACACACACACACACACACACCGGCAGAAGAGACATGAGCAATAACATTTACTGTGAATGTTTAAAATGCCCTTTGACTCTGACTGGTGCAGTGAGTGTGGATTACCTGAGTGCAGCAGGTCTTACAGAACTGCTTGATCTTCCCTGCTGTGATGTCGAGGTCTTCATAGCACTCTCTACACTCGAACATCGCAAGTCCTCCACAGATGCGACACTCCCTGGGAGCTACGCAAAGAGGGAAGGAAGAAGCCTTTTTAAAAAGACATTCTGTCATTAAAAATAAAAGCTATACGTTGAAAACAAGAATGCTTGGGGGTTGGGGAGAAGAAAGGCCTAGTCCTCTCTGACCCTCTTAAAATTTCATTTGAATTTTTTTTTTGTATCTGATGTATTTTTAAGGACTTTTTTTTTTCATATAACCATTTTTGTTAACCTATTCTAGAATTGTTCTTCTGGTCATGAAATGTTCAAAGATATAAAGTAAGTATTGAAGACTAATAGCACATGTGATCTTAAGTCAGTAAGTAACAAGCACTGCCATTATGAACTTTCTTTAACAATTTTATGTCTGAATATTTATATAAGTATGTGCACCCAGGTACACGTGTATCTCCAGCTTCTCTCATCTAGCCTCTCGATGCTTTCCCTTCCACGATAACTACCACACACTGTTTTCACATAGGTCTATTGTTTAGACATACAATCCAGTTAACCACTTCCCTCTTATTAACATTTCTTGTCTCTAATTTCTTGTCAGATAGTAAGTAAATTTGCATTTAAATTATTTATTTTTACCTTTTTTTTAAAATAAATTCTAGCAGTCAAATTATTGAGTTAGTATGTCTAAGCTCTTCAAATACTGAATTCCCTGTCAGAAGCACTATACCCATAACTAATGACAAATCCAAGCCTACTATTTCTAAAACAAAACAAAACAAAAAACAAAGAAAGAATTATATACTTACTGTCTTCAAGCAAATCCGTTATATTTAATTCTAGAGAAGGGAAAATTTTTTTGAACATTTTGAAGTCTTTTCCAAACCGAGGCATCTGAATAATCAAGCATGATGGTGCCTAAAAAATAAAAGACACATTGTTTTAGAAACCAAAGTCCTAAGGAGCTGGGGACTTAGCTCAATATAGTGCTTACTTAGCATGTCCAAAGCCTTGAGTCCTAATCCCTGTACTAACGAGTTTCCCTATGAAACTGAAATAGTCATTGCTGTCAAACCCAGTAGTGGTTTCAGCAGGGCTGTTGGCCCATGAAGCAGAGCCCACTTGTGAATGTGCAGTGTGGATGCAGAGCAGCAATAAGCTACAGATTTTCCAGACTCCCCCAGAGATGAACATGATAAAACAGACCACGGCATGCACTGCAGAGATCACACATTCTGACAGTCAAAGAGACGTTTCTATTGCGTTCATTAGCAAACCCATACACAAGAATTTATTGGTATTTTATCTCTTAACAGAGGGAGAAAAAATAACATTACCTTTGACATGTTTAGATACTATGCATGGGAAAAATGACAACTGAAAACATAAACATGTATGCACACATATCTTTGCATTAAGCTACTTTAAACTTAAAAATTAGCTTTTGTTCCCTTTGTAACCCAAATCCAAAACATTCCAACTTAAGCTAAGCGGCTATCTTTAAATAGAACAAAGTTAGAATACCTTTTTTTTTTAAAAAAAAAATAAAAGTGTCTTCTTAACTATTTCTTCAAACTATTCTTGGTTAAAGCACAGTGATAGCTAGGTGTGGTTCAGTGGGGCAGCACTTGGGGTAGTGTGTACAAAAGGCCTGAGTTTAATATCTAGCATCGATAAGAAACAAAATAAAGTAGCATTACAAGTCCAGTTAGAATCACTAACCTCTGCAAATTTCAGGTTACTGTTGATAAAAGACCATTCTAGTAACTGTTGAATTGTAGGAACTCCAACTTTCTCATTTTTTTCCATGAAGATCTGATAGAAGTTGCAGTCTTGGACTTTCTGACCTGCTGATCTGGAAGCACACAGGAAGAAATGCATATAAGCCATCTACCAAATGCCTGAATCGAGTATGAAGCGTCTGACAGACCTGAGGACACAACATCATAATGCTCGTGTCCAGCTTTGGATTGTCCACACACCAGGTGAAAGACAATAATTCGGATGAGATAATTCAATGTGCTTATGCAGAAGACCTCATAAATTATTTCTTCGTCCTTCTTTATAAATTATTCGAAAGTTCTCTTGCCATCACAAGAAAAATGTAGAATAATATTCCAGACAAGAAACACTATATGAACAATAATCAGTTCTCTCCCTCCAAATCTAGAAAGTAGCAGCTACTTTTTTTAAAACATTAATTTTTATTTTATGTACATTGGTATTTTACCATGGATGTCAGGTCACCAGGAACTGAAGTTACAGACAGTTGTGAGCACTGCTTTTACTGACTAGAACAAATGCTACAATGTCTCAGTGACGGACTCTTAGACCTTCTAAATCAAACTTCTTTACTTCCTAAAATAAAAGCCCTGAGAGGGAGGGAGGGAGGGATTCTTTCCTAGCAAGTCAAAGCAGGGCAAGGTGTGACTCCCAGGAACCCTAACAACTATCCTCTAGGCTTTCAGCTACCAGCAGCTCTTTAGATGCTCACCCACCAACTTGACAAACACCAGGTAAATGGTCATGGTGAAACATAAGGGTCCAACATCTCCCTTCCCTTACCAGCTTACTAGTAACCATTAAAACTAACTCTACTGAGAAAATTGTTTTTCATCTTTCAGCTTACCGCTTATCTTTTTTAGCCAAGTGTCTGGGTTTAGAATCAGATTATTTAAATGTATGTCTAGATTTCAAGAGTTTTAGAAAAAAAAAACTATCAGCAGTTTTTATCACAAAACTTCTGTAATTCAGGGAGCAGCCAATTGTGATCTTCAGCTGCCCCAAGCAAATTATGTCCTGAATTTATAAAACATAAAATCTGGTAACTAGCTACAGCACTCTTGAGAACGCAAAGCTAATAAGAACAGATTATAATCCAAGAAACTAGCAGTTATTCTAGAATAACATTTTAATTGGTTGTTGATGACTACAAAAAATCATAGAAAAACGTCATAGTTAAAAATAGCATAGAAGAGAAAACAAAAATAATGGAGGTAAAAAAAAAATCACACACAGAAAAATCAAGGATGGCCAGGAGGAGGCATGGCAACTAGTTAATGGAGGAAGAGATACATAGTGTCCTAACACTGTAGCAGAAAACTGGGAGGAACAACAGCCACTCAAAACTCACTTCCAGGGCCAGGCATGGTGGTGCACACTTTTAATCCCAGCACTCAGGAGACAGAGGCAGGTGGATCTCTGTAAGTTCGAGGCCAGCCTGATCTACAAAGCAAGTTTCAGGACAGTAAGGGCTATATAGAGAAACCTGTCTCAAAAAATCAAACCAAACCTAAAACGAAAAACAAAACAACAAAAGTCACTCCTCAAATCATATGCACAGGGGAGTCCTTTTAACCATAAAGAACAAAGTATGTCAGTCATAAAAAGTGGATACAACTGGAAATAAACATACTAAACAAATTAAACCAGTCGCATAAAAAGAAACAATGTACGTTTTCTTTCATTTATGGTTCCTCGATCTTCTACAGAGAGACAAAAAGCATTAATTTGTATATGACATGAAAGTAGACGTGATGCTGCCTAAGGAACAAAGGAACTATGAGGAGGGAGACATGGAAAGGGACAGAGGGATGGAGGTACAGGGGAAACATACTCAATATACAATATGGGGTTCATGAAAATTTTAGAAAATGATAAAAATAATTAAATAACCCCACGGCTAGTGTTTTAGAAGTTTGAAAACCTACAGAATCATAACCAAGTTGTGAAACTGTACCAAGCCATGCTAGTTGGGTTGTATTTTCCACCAGGGACAATCCAAGGGCACAAGAATACAAATTTGGTAAATTTTAAAAAGTGGATATTGACATTTTATAAACATTAATATAAAAACATTCACGGATTGGTGTGGTCTGGACCATAATAGGTGAGTCCTGAGGTCCTATACTCATTCCAAAATCCTGCAGCTCCATGATGAGCGTGTGAAGCTTGTGACGTCACTGCCCAGCCACAAGGAGCCTGGGTCGCCCTGCCTTGATGCTCTTGTTACTCTTGCTTTGGTCTGACCTTTCTTTTCTTGCT